AGAGCGTTTGTGGCAGGCAAGGTTGCATTATTGGACAGAAGGGTCAAGTACCTGCCTGGTTTACTTGTGGGTGTTAGCACAAGTGGTTTGCTCTCTGGGTGGAGTAGATTAGCTGTAGAGTACTCTGATTAGAGTGAGCTAATTGCTCTGAAGACAGCCTGAGGAGGTTAGTCTGGGACTCACTGCTACTGTGGTACTGTAGAGTGAGGAATTTTGGTAGTAGTTAAGTCAAGTGACTGTTTAAAGAAACCATCAAGAATATTGTACCTTAGTAACAAGTTAAGCTTTTGTGCCTCATCAAAGAAGACAATTGTTTGTTTGTTCTTATAAATAAATCTTTTCTCTATTCAACTTTTAAAGAAGCCTCAGTCGTTATTCATTCCTGTGGGATAATTCTAGTTTCTTTTACACCCTAACATCACAGTCGTTTTGGGGAGCTAAGGGAGAGCTGTGTTGACAAGGCAGGGAAAGGTTACCTCAGAACCTATTTTTAATATCCTAAGTTGGCTTAGGTGGTGGCAGCAAATAAACCAGAAGAAGATTGAAGCAGAGTTCACTCTACCAGAGCAGACACATTACAACATCATATATATATAATAACCCCGTGTAGAGCTTTTATACCGGTAGAAAGATTCTTTTATATAGGTGGCAGGTGGTGAGGTTAATCATAAGGCAGCCCTTAATTTGTTATACTGGTGACCAGTGGCGTGATTTAGAATAGTATACTTATAAACACTCCGGGTAAATATCCTTTCCTTTATACCCGGCTATTCCCAACTTACATTGTTTTGTTTTGAACGGAAATATATTTGCCAAGATTGCCACTTTTGACAGTAAAATCTTGAACCAAAGCTCATAAAGCTTTCTAAGATGTCGATGTGTGCAACAAAGAACATTATTACTACTAGTAGTAGTAGTTTAATTTTTTTACTTGAGAAACTGCAAGTCGCTTCTGGTGTGAGAGAATTGGCCGTCTGCAAGGATGTTGCCCAGGGAACACCCAGATGTTTTGATGTTTTACCATCCTTGTGGGATGGTTCTCTCATATCCCCGCATGGGGAGCTGGAGCTGACAGAGGGAGCTCATCCGCACTTTCCCCGGATTCGAACATCTGACCTGTCTGTTTAACCCATTGTGCCACCAGGGGCTCCTGCTACTAGTAGTAATAGTAATTGTACTAGTATAAGATGCATTTGTAGTAATAGTAGCATCAATAATTGTTACAGTTTGAGTATGTACAAATTAAAAAGTAAAGATAATAGAAAATATAGAGGTAAGCCTCTATTTGCAATAACACCTACACCTGTGTAATTCCTGTTTACGAATAATCAGTTTGTGAAAATATCTTTTGCTGAAAACATGGGAGGTTAAAATCTGATAAGATAAATCTTATAGCATCCATTGTCAACTCACTTAAATCAAGTGGACTTAAGATAGTTGTCAGTAAGCAGATCTCATTCATTTCAGAGTTGGAGCATGGCAGGTGAATTCTGATTGCCATTCTTCCCTTGTTCACTCACACCAATGCTTAAAAACATATTGGAAACTAATTTGATTTTGTTTTTTTGATGTTTAATTTTTTAAAAATGACTCTGCCACATTATGAGTGTACTAGTGCATCAGAGTTTAAGAAGATTATTTAAAAGTTGGGATATGTCTTTAGAGAAGTAAGAGAAAGACAAAGATCAAAGATCTGGAAAGCAAGCCTTCTAAGAAAAGCTGTGAGAATTGTGTAAGTTCGAAGAAAAGAAGATATGGTATATATCAATGTTCACATTCTGAGTGACTATGTGGAAGATAGAAAGAGACCTCATGCTAAAGGGTTGCCATATGGAAGATGTTTCACAAAGCAAGTTAAGCCCTTCTCTATATCACAACTTGTGTTGCAGGAAAAAACACTGAGGCAGATCCTTGGGGAGATAGGCAGCAATTGGAGCATCCCTGCTCTTCCCAAGAGGATTCATTTCAGGGACACAGAGTTAGATAAAGTGAGGCAGATACTTCAAGCAGAAGAATGAAAGAGGGGACAAGAGGTCATGACACAGGTGAGTTAAAATCCCAGAGCAGGAGGCTTACCTAAGTTGATATTTATTGAAAAAGAGAATAGTCGCCTAATAGGAAAAACAACAATCTGTCAATAGACAGATTTTCTCTGAGATAAAGTGAAAGTAAATCTGCAATCCTTTTGAAAAGCTGGTAGAGTTTAAAATCTGTGTAGATGATGGGGGCATATAATCAGGGGACAGTTTCCATGAGTGTTTCATGGCATACAATCAGTCGTTTTTGTTGGGATGGGATGAGCAATGCCCAGCAGTGCCACTCTAAATGTAAGCCAACCTGTTGTGCTATGGGGAAAAATAGTGTGGGTAACAGTGGACACTTTGCAGAAGGAAGTAATGGAAACCTTGGTTTTGTTGTTACATGCCTTCAAAAAAATCTAACATACAGTGATCCTCAGTCAGCTGTATCACAGATTACTCTTTTGGCAAAGTTGACTGAGAAAGAGGGATCCCACTGCCCTCCTCTTAGGCTGAGAGATTGTGAGTTGCTCAAATTTACTCAATGATAATAATGATAATGATAATAATGATGGTGATTATATAATGATAATCTCAAATAGAGATTGAAACCTGGTCTCCCATAGTCCTAATCAAACTCTTAAATCACCTCACCATGCTGTCTCTGGACCTCAATACACAAGCCCCTGAAACACAACTGCCTGTACCACCACAAGTTACCTAATGTAGTGCCCCAACAGGAACCTAGAGTAGACTTGCTCCAAGATCATTGGGGTGACTTTGACTGCCACCTCACTCCCTGCAGTTTCCATCAGTCAGTCAGGCACTAGAGTACCAGATAACCACTAATCTACACAAAAGTGTAAAGAACAAACAAATCCTGGAGTTGTCCGAAACAAATGTGTACATTGCATGATAGCAGTGGATGCCTTAGTCTTCTTCTTCATTGTCCTCCATTAGTCCCATGGTTCCTCTGTAACGCCTATCAGTGCTTGCTCTACCCAATTCCTCTTCCTCCTTATCTTTCCATTCCCTTTGGATTTCCCCATAGCTTTTCACCTGCTCTTTAAAACTAATTGAGCCTATCAGTTTATCTGAGCATCTTGATTTCCCTGGTGCTGCTGTTCCATTCTTCCCACTCTATTTTATCTTTATACCTGGGACTTTCTAAAATGTATTTATTATTTTTCCGTTGTCGCCATTCCTTTTCTCCAACCTCTTGCCTCTTACTCTGGACATATGGGTTTCTTCCCCTGATTGCCCTTCCTTCTGTGCTATTTTCTATTCCTTTATGCAAGCTCACTGAATGTGGGCAATCAATCTGTCCTTCTTGAGGAAAGTTTTGAAGGACCCTGTGTTCCAGTTTTCTTTCTTTCCATTTCAAGAAACTCTACTAATTACTTGTTTAGCTTGTTATTTTTGTATTTTCATCACCAAGGAGGAAGAGGAGTGGGTGTCAAAATAAGTTGACCAGCTTTACAAGAGGAAAGGGGTCACCACTGGCCTTAGACAACAAAGTGTCTTTGCCCGGAATCAGCCCAGTTCGGGGAGGGGAATGCCACAACTCCAGGTGATAGGAATTAGCACATTTCTCTGGCCTATGCTATGATAAGACTCTATTCCCTTCACTTCCTTCTGCTGAGCAGTCACTTGGGATGCCCCATGACTAGAATTGTCAAGCCAGAACTGACTGAAGACCTGATATTTCAATGCCAAATCTTGAGACCTATGGACAGTTGCTTTCCGATACTACAGGGCGTGGGCTCTGGTGACGTTCTGCATATATATGCAACCAAGAAAGGCAATAGTCTCAGATTGAGATCTCTGCCAATCCTGAAAGTCAGAGAAGAGAGGTCAAGCCCTGAGATCTGTAAACCCAGATGGGTCTGGTTATCTATATAAATAAAAATGTAATGGTTGTTAGTGGGATTAACATAACTCAAAAACCACTGGATGAATTGACACCAAATTTGGGCACAATACACCTATCAGGCCAATGAGTGACCATCACTCATAAAAACACTGGAAAACACAGCAGAAGAGACTTAAAAACCAAAAAAATAAAAAAAAACATTACAACGCATGTGCAAAATTACATATATACACATATACAAATATATACACACACATACACAAAACACATATACGCGGACTGGACCACAGCAACGTGTGGCAGGGGATGGCTAGTTGGTTAGAAAACCAAAAACTCTATGCATTGTAGCCTATAAAGCCATAGCCATTTTGATCCAAATCTCCTGACTTGATTTCCGTTATGTTCACCCCTTTTTCCTCTTCGACATGGTTTGCCATTGATACCCTAATATTAATTGCACAGAAGGATTCCCTGCAATCAAAACATTGCCTATGGTTCTTGCCTAGCTATCTTTCTACTATGCTTTTAAGAAGGAAATCTGTGAAATGGAGGGGAAGGTAGAGGCAAGGAACCAGAGACCTGACCTAATTTTGTCAAGAAATGGCAATGGTTTCTTACAAAGCAGAGTTTCATCTTTGCATGTGAAGGAGGCTCTAGTGCTTTGCAACATGAGCATGGGATCCTGTATGCTATCAGCTGCAGTTAACTTGAAAAGAGAAGCCTTGAGTTCATTTGAGGCTCTTACTTCTATGCAGGGTCAAGGAATTAATCAGAGGCCAAAGTCAGTTGAAAGAGAGGACAGGGACCCCTGGTGAATTGGCAGGCGCTTTGACAAATTGCTCTTTCATCCGAATATAACTGATTATGTAAACAAGATGGAGCTGTTATCTCTAGTATTTGGAGCTCAGTGATATAGTGGATTCGCCATGCAGCTCCTATGGTGAGAAAGGAAATATGGCTAAAGTCCAGATTTGCATTTTGTAAATGGAGATTGTTTTCGGAGTCCATTAACAAACCGTTTTGTTATGGCAGGAGGGCACTCTAAGGAGGAGGCATATATTGCATTGTGGGTGTAGAGAATTAATCTGTTTTGTTTACTTATTTGGCAGGATCAAAAAACCGTGTGGCCCCTCTCCCAGTACCCTGGGGAGTTCCTCCACCCCGTGGTCTATGCATGCACTGCTGTCATGCTGTTGTGCCTCTTTGCTTCAATTATCACCTATATTGTGCATCACAGGTAAGAAGAGAGTTGCCAGTTGTTGGCATTCTTTTTTCCCCCCCATTCTGTTCATTAAGATTTCTTCCAAGGTATCTTCTGCCCCCAACCCACCTACCCATCTATTGTTTCCATGTTTGTAATGATCCAGTATTTAGCAGACATACTAGCTCAGCTTCTTTTCTACACATAGGTCTTTCACACTATGAAAATATTACTTTTGGGACTTGAATTGGTTAGTATCAAGCAAAATAAACACAATTTTGTTGCTTATTGAGAGGAATATGAAATGTATAATCCAAACAAGCAAGCTTTTAATGCTTTGCATGTTATACTGAAACAAGTGTCCAAAATAAACAGAGGAACTGACCTGATAATTTTTGTCACTCCTGCCCCTTGTGCCTCATTAAATTACTTGCAGAGCATATTCTGGCTGGAAATTGCTTCAAATGTCATTCCAATTTTCACAATGAAATTAGTTACTTTGCAACAGGTTAGAGGAATGTTGGGTAGACATTTGTCTTTTTTGTATCTCTCTCTCTCTTATAGAGATTCACACACACCCATGATTTCTCATGAAGGCTCAGAGATTAGGACCCTTTCACACTATGTTGTTACAGTCCTATGGCTTCCTCTGTAAATGGCATGGCAACATCCCATGGAAACCTGGGATCTGCAGTTAGCGGATCATTTAGAAACCACAATCACCACCCCAAAACTACAAATGTAATGATTCCCTAAAGTCAGTTACATTGGAATTGTAACACTATAACTGTCTAGTGGGAAATGCCTCAGAAGATGTGGCAAATATAATGGAATTTATCACAACAAACTCCATTTAATGTATTGTCGAAGTCTTTCATGGCTGGAATCACTGAGTTGCTGTCGGTTTTTTGGACTATATGGCAATATTCCAGAAGCATTCTCTCCTGATGTTTCACCTGCATCTATGTTAGATATCCTCAGAGGTTGTGAGATCTGAGGAACTCCATTTACACAAAAATCCACTCATGTCCTCTACTTCCATGGCATTATGTATTTAAAGCAGAAATTGAGAGCTCTTCCTTGTCTTGTTGGACTATACCTCCCAGGATTCCTTACCTTTAGGGCAATAGGGAATAACAGCCCGACAGCATCTGGAAGGCTATACAAGTCTCACCCCTTTTTAAAAGGATCACTTTGTAGGTCTGTTCATTGAGGCACTTCTGCTAGTAGTACTCTGGTTTAAAGCTAATTATGCTAGTCTGATGATCTTGTGAACTGCTGTCCTACATATACTTCCAAGACTTCTCAGAAACCTATGATGCAACGAAACTCCCTTGCCACTGGAGTAACTAAATTGCAAGCCTAACTTTGTTGAAGGTCATCATAATAATCCTGCACCCCTATATAAAAAAAGAAATGTTCCTCTAGTCCCTAAACTTGTAGCATTGCAGTGACTTTACTTCAGTGTATAGTGTATTGTATTTAGAAATACAATATAGTGTCTCAAGGAAAAAGGCAGGCAAAGTGCCAAAGGTAATGTAAGCACACCAGTTATTAGAGTTCTGGGTGTGAATGCTTTTCAGTGTTCCACTCTACAATGCTAGAAATTTGGAAACTAAAAGAAAATTTCATCTGGGACATTTTGCCATGTTCCTCCCCCCCCCTCCTCTTGTTTCTGCATTCCTACTTTGCTTAAACCAGAGAATGCTATAGAGCAGGCATGGAAATGTATCGGCTGTGAGTGATATGAAGTATTCTCAAGGCCTCTTGCTGCTACCATTAACAGACCCACACCTCAGAAAGTCATTGGTGAAACCATCACAAAAAATATGTCTTTGGCTGGAGGCTGCCAGGACTGTATAATGCTCTGTCACCATCTTGAACTACAGAAGACTATAGCTTCTGCTGTAATTTAGTAGCCATTGCAGTAGTACAGAGAACCTACCTACTTATGGGGCGGGTAGGAGGAATGGGTGGGTGATAATCTTTCTTGTTCCCCAAACAAAAAGCTAATTTACCCCAAATTGGGTTGTGATTAGTCAAGAGTGGTAGTGTCTATCAAATTTCACCACAAATGGAGAGCTCCCAGGATCGTACAGTAGTCAAAGTAGGGTTTTTTGGGGGGGACGGGACGGTGAGAGAGTTGGGTTCCGGTGCACCACCTTCACCCAGGAAGGTGACCATCTCTGTTGAAGAGATGTATATCAATTTTCAGCTCTAATTCTAAGCTGGCCCAAGAGACAGCTTGTTGGGTAGAAGCATAGAGAACTCGGCTGGACAGAGTACGTTTAAGGAAGAGTAGGGTCACAATACAGAGAAAAAGAAATATTGACTTTTTCAAATGCTAATGAAGGTGATCAGCTGAACATTCACACCTAACTGCAGCAGGGAAGAGCTCCTTGCCCCACCCCAGCCATTCCACAGATATATAAACCCATTGTCCTAATTCCAACAGACCTCACTACCTCTGAGGATGCTTGCCATAGATGCAGGCGAAACGTCAGGAGAAATGCCTCTAGAACATGGCCATATAGCCCGAAAAAACCCACAAGAACCTAGTGATTCCAGCCATGAAAGCCTTCGACAATATTGACTTTTGTTAATTAAGCTTAATATTAAAAACACAACCCTACGGTTTTTGTTTGGTAAATTGTATATCTTTCTGCGGGCTTGTTTGCATAACAACCTCTTTAAAAGTTGCTTAGAGCTCTGTTTTGTTTACACATTCAAAAGGCTAATGGAATGCTAAAACAAAACCAGAAGGAAAAAAGGAGAGAGAGAGAGAGAGAGAGAGAGAGAGAAGGAAAGCAGGAGAAGAGAGAGCCAGTCAGGCCCTATAACTTTGCTTAAGCAAATGATTTCACTTGCGTCTGAGTCATCTCGGGACAAGAGATCACATAGTTAGGGGTATTAACAGGTTCTCCAAGGGAGGACGCCTTCAGAATATAGCACAGAAATGCAGGACTTGGAGACAGATTCAAGAAAAAGACTGAAGCCCAGTCTGCTTGCATTTCTCTAGCATGTCTGTCCATGAAAAAGTGTACTGATAAAGAACAACAGCTCAAGTTCAGTTGTTTCCAGATCTTGAAAGCATTTCTTTTTTTTTTGACCACACACCCTATGAAGGTGAGGCATTCTAGGGGTTAAAATTGGAAGATTCCCCATATTTATACAAGTATCTCCAGCACCTGTGGTCCTCTCAAGAAGTCATATGCTTTAATTCATGACTGTACATTCAATGAATTGTTGGAATTTCTGCAATGCTGTTCAAAATAGTTGTGTGACTTTGTTTTTATGTTAACTTCAAACAGCACAATCCGAATCAGCAGGAAGGGCTGGCACATGCTTCTCAACTTCTGTTTCCACACTGCTCTCACGTTTGCTGTTTTTGCTGGTGGAATAAATCGTGTAAAATATCCAATTATCTGTCAAGCGGTGAGTGCATGCATTCCAATTAGCATTTATTTTTATAATGAAACAAAACTATGAATTGTGCATATTTATGGTCCCTGTTGTTCTTCACTTGGATGAATGGATTAAGCTCTTCTCAGAATTTAAAACTAAACCACTGTTTGGAAAATGTTAGTTTTCATACTAAAAGGACACAGTTGAGTCAGGAAACTAAATCTGTATTTCTAGACATGAGTATCTCTCAAACAGTTTGCTCATAATTTTTTCCCAAATAATTTTTATTAAACATTTATCAGGAGAGTGGGTGAAGTGACAAGGGAAGAAAAAGGAAAATATAGGGATAATAGATTAGTTATTGGTTAATTGCGTATGCCGCAAGGAGTAAACAAAGAGGGTGAAAATTGTTAAGGTATGGGGAGTTCTTTTGCAAAATTATCATTGTTACAACCAAGTCTTCATTTCTATTTCTTTAACACATATTTCATAAAATATTGAGGATTCTAACAATTTTAAGTTCATTGGTTGTATCTTCTCGTGACTTTTCACATTGTCTCCAGGTATTTTCCAGTTCTTCTTCAATGTAAATTGACCTTAACTTTTGATTAGAAATTATTTCACATTATTTTTTTCTTACATTTTTATTATTAACTAGCCGTTCCCTGCCATGCATTGCTGTGGCCCACATGGGGGTTCTGTGTGGGAGGTTTGGCCCAATTCTATTGTTGGTGGGGTTCAGAATGCTCTGTGATTGTAGGTGAACTATAAATCCCAGCAACTACAACTCCCAAATGTCAGGATTCTATTTTCCCCAAACTCCACCAGTGTTCACATTTGGGCATATTGAGTATCCGTGTAGAGTTTGGTCCAGAACCATCATTGTTTGAGTACACAGTGATCTCTGGATGTAGGTGAACTACAACTCCAAAATCAAAGGACACTGCCAATCAAACCCTTCCAGTATTTTCTGTTGGTCATGGGAGAACTCTGTGCCAAGTTTGGTTCAGTTCTTTCGTTGGTGGGGTTCAGAATGCTCTTTGATTGCAGGTGAACTATAAATCCCAGCAACTACAAGTCCCAAATGACAAAATCAATTTTTTTGAGTGAAGGACATACATTGGGTTGTTAGGTGTCTTGTGTCCAAATTTGGTGTCAATTCGTCCAGTGGTTCTGTTAAACCCACAAATGAACATTACATTTTTATTTATATAGATATCTACAAAGAAACTTCTACAATTTTCATTTAGATTGTTAGTAGGTTCATATTGATATCATTTTGTTGTCATCATGCTTTCTTTCTTTTTGTATTACATCAAATATATTTTCCATCTACAACACTTGGGTTCAAAAACACTTCTGATTTAACCATAATCACTCAGTATGATAATAGTTTTATAGTCCATTTCCCTGATAGCTCCTGGAGGCCAGATCTCTCAAGCTTCTCTTTCTCAAAGTTTTTCCCCACTGATCTGTTTAGACTTCTTTTATATCAGTTGCTCATATTTTTTATTGGAAATAAATTGTAATGGGTTGGAACCAAACTTAAAGCCGACCCATTGAAATAAACTCATAACAAACATGGGTCTCATTGATTTTCTTGAATCTACTCTTACTGTAACTTAAGTTTTGCTCCAACTCATTGAACTCAGTGAAATTTGTTTAATAATACATATGCTTACAATTGTAATAACAAAATGTCACCCTGATGCTGTTTTCAATGTTGTTCAGTTTTTTATATCTCCCACTTTTGCTTTACAAATATGTGAAGTGTTGTTTATTTGTAATTCTCCTTGAGATCTCATATTGAGAGTGCTTTTATTGAGCATTTCTAAGCCTTTTAAATTATGTCATCGGCACTCAATGTGTGTTGTTACTAAGTACACTTTGGAGCATCTTGTTTTAAAAATAGGTTGTGATTTGAATCAAATAAAATAGTGCTAAGAGCTTTGCTGTTGAGTTTCACAGAGAATTTGAAATGAGACTACATTTTAGATCAGTGTTCTGTTTTCAGAATGAACTTCATGACTGTCTCTTTCTCCAAACAGTTATATTAGGTTGTCTCCAGAACATGCGATTGAGCAAAGTGATGTGCTAGGAAATAGTTTTTGTTGATGAATGAAGAAGGAGCAATTAAAGATTAATGAAGCTTGTATGGGGTGGAAAGTAGATTTGTCTTCCTCTGTCAGTGAAACTGGTGAAAACTAAAGTTATACTGTTTCACTTAGAACACAATTTGTGGAATTAGCTAGTTTAAGATGTGGATTTGGTCACAGGCATAGGTTTAGATTCTTTGAATTTGTCTGGTGAAATCCATTTAGCATGATTACTTTATGAAATTTCCAGATTCAGAGCTAGTATAATACAATAGTTTGGTGGAAAGCAAAAATGGGAGAGGGCTGTTGCCTTCATATTCTGTTTCTCAAGGCATTTAGTTGATGTCTAACTATAAGTTTCTGCAGACCAGAAGATAGCAAGTATGAATGTGAATGATGGTTGAAATGCCCCTCTCCCCCATTTATGAAATTTTGTTAACTATGTAAGGAAACAAGGGATGTAAATTCACACTATTTTCATCTTCATGTGTGAGGGTGAACAATTCTCCCAACATGGGAGAAAGCAAATCATTTTCTGCCATATTTACTCTGCATTGAAATATCCCAAATTGTTGAATACTATTATTCTGTGAAGAAAAACACCAGGATGTTCAAAATACAGAGCAAAATAGCAAAAAAAAAGTTCATGCTGGTCTATTCTTCTTTCGAACTGGGTTTTCTGACTATCAGAAAACCATTTTTAACCTAGGAAGAAACCCTTTATTCTCTACATTCCTACCATAGCATTTATCTTTTGTTTGACTGTGTAGTTTGTGTGATATACTGCAAGGATAATATAATATTCTCTCCTGCTTTTCCCTTCCTCTCAACTTCTTTATCTATTTACTTCCAACAATCATGGCTATTTTTTGCAAATGTACAGACCCTTAAAATACAATGAGTACTTATACCTTGAAGTCTATTACTTTTGAACAAAATGTCTTTTACTAACATCTCAACTGCTCAAGGACTGAAGTATTCAGAACAATTCTAACACAGCCTTTCCATTCTATGATCAAAAGATATGTTGTTGTTGAGTAGTTTAGAATAGAGATTTTGTGTGGCTCCTAGGGAGAAAAGAATGTTAGGAAAACTGATAGGGAAAGTAGAACGGTTGAAGAAAGGAGAAATGGAGATAAAATAGAGTGTGATGGCAAGACAGTGAAGAATCTTCAATGGAGATATATGGGGAAGACAGACTACATGAAGATCTTGGCCAAGGGAGGATTAAGGGAGGGAAATAAATTAGGTAATAGACTGCAGGCCAGGACTTCCAGAAGTAATGCAGTGAAATATATGATACAACCAGGCCCGTAGCCAGGATTTTGTTTCGGGGGGGGGGGGTTGAGTTTGGTTCGGGGGGGCTGAGTCTGAGTGAAAGAGGGGCTACCCTAGCAAACCTTTTGTATCGTTACCCCAATACCCCCATTTTGTTGTTGTTCATTCGTTCAGTCGTCTCCGACTCTTCGTGACTTCATGGACCAGTCCACGCCAGAGCTCCCTGTCGGCCATCACCACCCCCAGCTCCTTCAAGGTCAGTCCAGTCACTTCAAGGATGCCATCCATCCATCTTGCCCTTGGTCTGCCCCTCTTCCTTTTGCCTTCCACTTTCCCCAGCATAATTGTCTTCTCTAGGCTTTGCTGTCTCCTCATGATGTGGCCAAAGTACTTCAACTTTGTCTCTAGTATCCTTCCCTCCAGTGAGCAGCCGGGCTTTATTTCCAGGAGGATGGACTGGTTGGATCTTCTCGCAGTCCAAGGCACTCTCAGAACTTTCCTCCAACACCACAGCTCAAAAGCATCGATCTTCCTTCGCTCAGCCTTCCCTAAGGTCCAGCTCTCACATCCGTAGGTTACTCCAGGGAATACCATGGCTTTGACTAGGCGGATCTTTGTTGCCAGTCTGATGTCTCTACTCTTTACTATTTTATCGAGACTGGACATTGCTCTCCTCCCAAGAAGTAAGCGTCTTCTGATTTCCTGGCCACAGTCTGCATCTGCAGTAATCTTTGCACCTAGAAATACAAAGTCTGTCACGGCCTCCACATTTTCTCCCTCTATTTCTCAATTGTCAATCATTCTTGTTGCCATAATCTTGGTTTTTTTGATGTTTAGCTGCAACCCAGCTTTTGCGCTTTCTTCTTTCACCTTGATTAGAAGGCTCCTCAGCTCCTCCTCGCTTTCGGCCATCAGAGTGGTGTCATCTGCATATCTGAGGTTGTTAATGTTTCCCCATGCATATGGGATATATTGAGAATGGTGATCAGATCATGATATTAATAAGCATAACAGTTTAAATAATGTACCATGAGAATTTGGGGGGGGGGGGGGGTGAAGCCTCTCAAAGCCCCCCCCCCCCGGCTACATGCCTGGATACAATTAAAAGGAAATTGAAAGTTTTGAGAGTTGGGGGCAATAGGACAGTGAACCAAGTTGCTTATGGTCTAAGAGCGGAATTTCCTTTATGACAGTTTATTGAGGGGTACAGTGGTTTCACACATATCTTTAGGACCCATATCTGGAGAAAAGCAGGACAAAAAATAAATAAACAAATAACCTCAGGCAGATATGTATCACTTCATATATACACTCACTTATCCACATAGTCATTCAAAATTATTTCTTATGTGTATATAAAAGGAATGCTTTGGACAATCTTGTTCCCACAAATCCATCAATCCATTTACTCATACCCCTTTTGAAAGTGCAGGTTTACCTACACCATTTGCTTTCTCTTTTCGCTCTTTCTGCCCACACACACATATATATACATACACATGGTTCCCTTGGATACCCTTTGAAAGTGCAGATCCAGCTGAATCAATGCTTTGAAAGAGTTCATCTCATTCTTCTTCTATCGGCTCTCCTTCTATTGGCTCAGTTTTTAAATGTATATACATTGTCTATATTTTCAAACCACTTGGTATATCTTGA